GATTCTGAGGAGCCACCTCTGGGGTGCAGTGAGGAAACCGATCATACGGGAAGAATCAATCCTCTCAGTGTGCTCATCTTGCTGAATTCTTAGAGATAAAAACAGGGAAAAGAGACAAGTATCTGTACTGCAATTAAACTCCTACATCACTGCTGACATGGAGGAGAAAACATCTCAAAGCCTGGAGTGCGAAAAGAGTTTCCCTCGGGGAGATCTTCCGCAGCAACATGCAAGCGGGGCTCACACTGGAAACAAAGCCTATGCATGCCTGGAGTGTGGAAGGAGCTCCACTCAGAGTTCAAGTCTACGTTCACATCAGAGGATTCACACTGGGGAGAAACCCTTTACATGCCTGGAGTGTGGACAGAAGTTCAGTTAAAGTTCTCATCTACATTCACATCAAAGAAGTCACACTCAGGCGGGGAGTAAACCCTATCCGTGCCTGGAGCGTGGAAAGAGCTCCACTCAGAGTTCAACGGTACGTTCACGTGAACGGACTCACGCTGGGGGGAAACCAACAGCAGAAGTGTGCTGGCTTAGAATTAACTAAGAGGAATAGAATAATAAGAGACACAATCAACTCTGTGTGGAGTTCATAGAAACAAACCCAGATCTGTTTGTTATTGGGTTAGTTTACTTTGTGTATCTATAAAGGAGTGTTTGTTTTTGGTGTGTTTCTTCTGACTGAGTCAACTCTGTGTGGAGTTCATAGAAATAAAACCAGGTCTGTTTGTTAATCAGTTAGCTAGTTTCCTTTGTTAATTGTTAATTTTTATGTCGGTTCTTACCAATCTGTCACGCTCTTTCTGGAACCTGTTTTATGTTTGTTTTAATGATTCCTGTGTTAGTTATGACTTTCAGTGGTTTGTTTTTAATGGTTTGTTTACTGCTGTTTTATTTTCAAATTAGTTGTAAGACATCCTGAGGAGAGAGGGTGAGTTAGAAATAAAGCTGTGGTTGTTGTTGTTGTTGTAGTTATCCCTCTGTGAGTTGTACAGTTTTAGTATTGTTTATTATAAAGTTGCTATGTTTTTCTTTTCCCTAATAAAATACGTGTTTGCAAAAGGCAGATTTAGATGGGTCGAAATGGAAGAGACCGGAAAGGCAGGCAGAGCCGGGATTTAGTGGATTTAGTTCAAGGTCCTTTGGGATATCCTTTTCCACGTTTATGTTGGTAGCCTGGCTTGAGGTTCGATTTTTATGCTTCAGTTATTACATATATATATATATACCATGTTTTGATCATCATCCGTAGCTTTTTCGGTTTAATGGATGATGATGATGATTATTTTATTTCTGACTCATCTCTCCTTGTAGCTCAAGGCAGGTTATAACACCACTAAGAACACATAATCATCTAAAAATTCTATAAAATACACGCATCAAAAGATATTTCTAGAAAATGCATATTAAAAGGCACAGAACAAAAATTAAAACAGCAGATGAGAGTTCGAAATTCATGATTAAAACTGCCTGGGTTTGACTGGATATGATTATTGACTGCATTTGTCATCTAGAATAAAATGGGAATTGTTTGGAGCTTTGTAACCTCTTCTGGAAAAAAAAGTCAGCTGCAAAAAAGCGAAATGTAAAGAAAATTTGTTTAAAAAATTGCAAATCATAACTGTGCTGAATAGCGTCAACGGGATTAAGGCTTGGGGGTGTCCGAGAGCTCTTTGCACTTTTCCATGTTCAGGGGGTCCTGGTGCCCTAAACCACACAAACGTGGAGCATTGGCCTGGCAGTGAAATCTAATATCCCTGCAAATCCACAAAAGAGTTCTCTTGGACCAACCAAATGTGCACCAAAACACACACCCCGGCCAGGTTTCAAGGCCCCGTTGGCTTCTTCCCTGGCAAATGGCCAGAAATCGTGCAGCAAAAGGGGGGAAATACACTCATTTGGGGGGACCCGAGCCCACAGTGTGTCAAGATATTGGTTTTGTTGCTGTCAGTTAAGCCATTGTTTTTGGCCACTTGGGCTCTGGGAGGGAGGGAGCGTCCTGAAATTTATTTATTTATTTAAAAGTTTGGTATCCCGGCCTTCTCACCTCTCTTGAGGGACTCAGACCGGGCCAAGGTAGTGTTCCCTCTTTGGTGGGAACTAAGGGTCCTCTCCCCTTGGAGTTGACCCCCCTAAAGTCTAGTTTGACTTCAGACCCAAACCAAGGAGGGCTTTGAAGGTCAAAACAAACACCTTGGACTTTGCCCAGCAACTCACCAGCCGCCAGTGGAATGACTGTAGTTCAGGGGGATTCGCTCACTCCTGGGGGATCCTGGGACTAATCTGGCTGCTGGGCTTTGAACCCATTGGGGCCTCCAAATTTGGTCCAGAGGGAGCCCAATGTAAAGAGCATTGCAGAAGTCCAGCCTGGAGGTAACGAGCGCTCAGTGCCGCACCATCTTGAGGTCCTTCAGATCTAGGAAGGGAGGAGGGTGAATCCTGGCACATTGGCTGGCGTGGGGAGCAAGCCCTCTTGACCGCTGTCCYTCTTCCTGGACGGCCTTTCCTGGCTTGAATGCAACAAGTCATGAGAAGAGCAAAGAGGGGAGAGGCTGTCACGTGGCGCTGAGGGGGGGGGGGGAGGCCTCTRCYGCCCTTCCTTCCCTGRTTCTGGCCATTTTCATAAAACCATAGAGTTAGAAGAGACCACCTGGGCATCTCATCCCACCTCCTTGTGTCACGCAGGAAAGGCGCAAGGCTTCCTCCTGAGCCCAAACACTGCGTCCTAGTCAAGGCAACTTGGGTCAACAGGAGGCCCKTGMAACACACACACACACACACACACACACACACACAACTAGGAGACGTTGGCAGAAACCTTCAGGCAGGGCGACCTTCATTATATCACCCCACCACTCGAAACGCCTGTTTGTGTCACTTTAATTTGTGTAACCCAGAACCACAAAACTGTCTTCAGTTCCACGGGATCTTCATCTTCTTCTCTTTTAGAAAACCTTCCCTTTCATAGGTAGTCCTAAACACTCGTTATTTTGAACTGAACAGAAACAGATTTGGAGATTTCTCGGGTTCGCCGTGCTTGGCGGTTGCGTCTTCTCTTCTTCCTGTCGCTTTCTTGGCTCTCTTCGTTCTTCTTAAACATATGACTTATGTGAGTATTCAAACCTTTAACATCAGGCTATCTTCTGTCGCTTTGAATTAAACTGTCAGTCACACAATCCTAGAGTTGGAGGAGACCACATGGGCCATCTAGTCCAACCCCCTGCCAGGTAGGAAAAGCACAAAGTACCCCTGACAGATGGCCATCCAGCCTCTGTTTGAAAGCTTCCAAGGCAGGAGCCTCCACCACACTTTGAGGCAGAGAGTTCCACTGTTGAACAGTTCATGTGGTCAGCAAAATTCTTCAGCATTGCTGAGCATTGCCTTTGTATGTCCTCGAGTCTGTACCAGTTGGAGTCCATAGTTGCGTCACGTGAAACATGGCTTCCCACAAATCCACCCCCAAGGTGTCATATATACTTTAAAAAGCATTAAAGGGATTCTTTTATTCTGTTCACAACGAGACAGAGGATATCGCAGAACAATACAGAGAAATACGGACAATAGCTAACTGCTAGGCCTGTGCGATCAAGGAAAAACAGGTTTCAAAAGTAATTACAAAGTAAGGGGTGGGGTGGGGGACATAATTTCTAAAGTGTTTCCAAAATTTGACACGTCCGTGTCTTAACTATCACGAGCTAATTCCTTTTTCGTTTCTCTTTGCTAAGTAGTTGTGCAAATGGGTGTCACTTCCGGGCCCCCTTTCTCCCTCCTTGTGAGCGCTGTGGGCGTGACACGTGCCACGATCCCAGAACACCTTGACTGTCACGGCCAGCCCACCAAGTTCCAGAACGTTTCACTCATCCGTGGACTTTGGGGGAATTATTACACGTTTTAAAAAACAATGAGAGCGATCTCCTTGAATTTTCTATACGAAAATGACACAAGATAACAAGGGATAATTCCTCCCCAGTTTCAGAAATATTCACACAACTACTGATTTCTGAGAATTTTAAATTTTAGACACACATTCTTAATGGAAAAAAGAGCCAATCTTATGAGCCTCTCTCACACACACGCACAACACATTAACCAACAGAACTTCAATTTAGGGATTTCTTCCCGGCCCAGGACAGATTTACTTGGACTTGAATTAAACTGTCACACAATCCTAGAGTTGGAGGAGACCACGTGGGCCATCTAGTCCAACCCCCTGCCAGGTAGGAAAAGCACAGAGTACCCCTGACAGATGGCCATCCAGCCTCTGTTTGAAAGCTTCCAAGGCAGGAGCATCCACCACACTTTGAGGCAGAGAGTTCCACTGTTGAACAGTTCATATGGTCAGGAAGTTCTTCCTAATGTTCAGGTGGAATCTCCTTCCCTGTAATTTGAACCCACAGCTCCTAGTCCTAGTTTCAAGGGCAGCAGAGAACAAGTCTGATCCCTCCTCCTTATAACACCCTTTCACATATTTACACACGACCATCACATTCCAACCTTCTCTTCTGCAGGCTAAACACACCCAGTTCTTTAAGACGCTCCTCATGTGTCATGGTCTCCAGACCTCCTCTGGACACCTTCCAGCTTGCCAATATCTCTTTCCAACTGTGGTGCCCAGAGTTTGAGACCGTGTTCCAGGTGAGGTCTCACCAAAGCAGTTGGAAGAGGAGAAGAAGGAGAAGAGCTTTGTTTTCCTACCCTGCCTCCATCTCCCCAAAGGGACTCGGGGTGGCTCACATGGGGCCAAGCCCAAGGCAACATGCAATTAAAGACAGAACAATAACATATTAAAGTAGCATAAAAACAGCATAAACAATAATAAAGAAGAAGAAGAACTTTATATTCCTACCCTGCCTCCATGTCCCCAAAGGGATTCGGGGCGGCTTACATGGGGCCAAGCCGAGGGAACATCCAATTAAAAGCAGAGCAACAACAAAATGCAATTTACAAAGCATAAAACAACATAACAAAAAGTATTCCTCAAGTTCCATCCACGGTTTCTACCCAGAGTGAGTTCTTTTGTGTGAATCTAGATAGGAACGCTGACTGAAGCTACTTCCACACTCCAGGCATGTATAGGGACTCTCCCCAGTGTGACTCCACTGATGTCTACGAAGATCTCTATTCCGAATGTAGCTCTTTCCACACTCCAGGCATCCATATTTCTCCCCTGTGTGCATTCTATGATGAGAGTATAGATTGGAACTATCAATGAAGCTCTTTCCAAACTCCAGGCATTTATAGGGTTTCTCTCCAGTGTGACTTCTTTGATGTTTACGTAGATTTCCACTCTGAGCGAAGCTCTTTCCACACTCCAGGCATGTATAGGGTTTCTCCCCAGTGTGAATCCTTTCATGTGAACGTAGAGCTGAACTCTGAGTGAAGCTCTTTCCACATTCTTGGCATGAATAGGGCTTCTTCCCACTGTGAGTCCTTTGATGTGAACGTAGGTGTGTACTCTGAGAGAAATTCATTCCGCACTCCAGACATGTATAGGGTTTCCCCCCAGTGTGAGTCCTTTGATGTGAATGTAGAATTCCCTTGAAACTGAAGCTGCGTCCACACTCCAGGCATTTATAGGGTTTCTCCCCAGTGTGAACCCTTTGATGGGAACGTAAACCTGAACACTGAGTGAAGCTCTTCCCACACTCCGGGCATTTATAGGGTTTCTCCCCAGTGTGAGTCCTTTCATGTGAACGTAGACTTGAACTCTGAGTGAAGCTCTTTCCACATTCTTGGCATGTATAGGGCTTCTTCCTACTGTGAGTCCTTTGATGTGAACGTAGACCTGAACTATGAGTGAAATTCATTCCGCACTCCAGACATGTATACGGTTTTCCCCCAGTGTGAGTCCTTTGATGTGAACCTAGATTTCCCTTGTAACTGAAGCTACGTCCGCACTCCAGGCATATATAGGGTTTCTCCCCAGTGTGAATCCTTTCATGCACACGTAGAGCTGAACTCTGAGTGAAGCTCTTCCCACACTCCGGGCATTTATAGGGTTTCTCCCCAGTGTGAGTCCTTTGATGTAAACGCAGACCCAAACTCTGAGTGAAGCTCTTCCCACACTCCAGGCATTGATAGGGTTTCTCCCGAGTGTGAATCCTTTGATGTGAACGTAGGTGTGAACTCTGAGTGAAACTCTGCCCACACTCCAGGCACGTATAGGGCTTCTCCCCAGTGTGAGTCCTTTGATGTAAACGTAGACCCAAACTCCGAGTGAAGCTCTTCCCACACTCCCAGCATTCGTAGGGTTTCTCTCCAGTCTGAGTCCTTTTGTCTTGCTGCAGATGACCCTTCTGAGTCAAACTCTCTCCACACTCCAGGGATTTAGATGCTTCCTCCTTCATGTCAACAGTGATATGGGTGTTTAATGGCAATACAGATACTTGACTCTTCCTTTTTTCTTTCTTGTCTGCAAGGGAGGTCAAGAACTCGACAAGATTGTCACCTTGAGAGGATTTCTTCTTCCTATATCATTGGCTTCCTTACTGCACCCAAGAAGTGGCTTGACAGAATCCTCATTTCCCTGGTCAAGAAAGAAGCAAAAGATCCATCGTGAAAGCCAGAAACCTTTTCTACCTCCAAAGTTTCCCCTTTCCTTCCGGCGGACATATTGAAAAATGGACATCAGGGTCTCAAGCACATACACAGAAAGCAGCAAAGGCAACCAGTGAGCCTTTAAAAAGAAAGGAATGTATTTGGAAAGAAGAGAAGAAGGGAGGGAGAAAAGAAGGAATGAGAGCAGGAAGAAAGGGGAACTCCTTCCAAAACTGGAGCATCACATTGATGTCCTTGGGTCAAACACACATGTGGCCAAAGGAATGGAAGGCCGCAATCAGGAAGGAAGGAACAGTTCTTTCCAATATTACAGGACGTCACTCGCTCTGGATAATGGGTCTCCCTGAATTACCAGGTTGTGTTAAATGCTGGGGGACACAAAGGTCACTGGGCCGCCTCCCATCCCACAATGGGACCCAGGGTCTGCTTCCTGAGCATCCCAGTTTAGATCCCGCCTTGCAAGACGGGATTGAACAGCCCTCTGACCGTCCAAAACAGCTCAGCTGGACAGTTCTTAGCAGACACCATGTTGGCCGCAACTAGAGATCTTCTTGTGGCCTTCACTGCCGCGGCATATGTTGAAGCTGTTTGCAATTTATAATGTAGATTTCAAGGTATGTATGTATGTTTAAAATGCAGTAGCTATGTGCCAAGAGTAATGTATTCCTGTGTGGAAAGAGTTAACTGAACCATGGAGGGAACGGCATTCCTAGAGAGGTCATAAATCAAGTGTATAGAACAAATGGACCCTCAGGCGTCATACGTCACTCTGGAATGCAAGAGGTGTGGACTAGTGCTGGTAACAGTTAGTGAGTTCGCAATGTTATGATCGGACGGTAAAGAAGCGAGTTTACGATGTGCTGAGTATTAAGTAGCTTCTAATGTATATAGCTGTAAAATAAAGGAGTTTATAGCCTAAGGTGGCTGTGATCGATCTGTTCTTGCCTCACTGACAGTCCCATCTGCAAACTTGATAGGTATGCCCTTAAGTAAAGGCATAGCCGTGCTCAGTCTGGCTCACTGTGAGATTAACGCCACATGCACTCTAGTCTGCTCCTCATACGCTTCATCGCTGAAACAAGGAACATCTCCCCATTCCAGAGATTTACCAGAGCATCAACAGAATCACCTAGCGAGGTGGTGGGAAAACTCCTCAAGAGACACCAGGATATTAGGATCATGAAGCCTCCTGGAGTGGACATCTGGATCGTCCTCATCACTACAAAGTTGTGGGACAGTAAGTCTAAAACAGATAGGTGATAGTCGGTCAGGCAGCAGAGCAATTGGTCAATCCCAACAACAAAACACTGGAATAACCAAGCGTAGGTGTGCCAGCACTCTTGACAGGTACAGAACAAAGTACAGCACGTAGCGGCCAGAGGTCTGAGCCACTCACGAAAGAGTGGTCTCGCACGGATGAAGTTCCCGCAAGTACTTTTTTTCATGTATTATTATACTACGCAATGATACCAACTTATCAGCAATAGTCGATCAGAGGGTAACAAACCATTATAACCAATACAGTACAAACCAAACATCTTAAAACATTAAAATAATAAATTAAATTAAAATCCAAATACATCAAAGATCACTAAAAAACAAACATGAAACAAAACCAATCTCCACTTATATAATAAAATAGAATTTTTGAGTGAGACACTGATGTGTTGTATCTTGTTGTCAGTTTTTCTCTTTGCGCGTTCTCTTTCTTCGTCCACAACCACCTATCATTTCACAACTTCCTTCACTCTACTTACTTATTACCATTCTCCCATTCTCTTTTCTC